CCGCAAAGCGAGACCTAGGAGCTTCCAGGGGAGTGCTGATGGTAGAGAAACCTGTCCACATAAAATGCCGGAGTGACTTATTGCCTATGTGCAGGGACCCTAGCGGTCATTTGGGCTGGGTCAGCAAACCAAGACTGACCCGCTACAACGGGACCCAACCTAGAGAGACCCTTTTCAATGGATTTGGTGTCTCTTAGGTGGTAGTTGATAAAGACGTTCTGCGTTCTCCAGAAGCCTACCCTCCATGTGTGCTCGACACTAGCACTAGCGAGTTAGCAATCGCACAGACCTCATGCGCTCATACTTGGTGTCTCTGCGAGCTCCGTGTCAAGGAATATAAAGCATTAGACCTCTAATACAGTCGCAGTAAACCACCTGGTTATGGAAGTTGGGGAGGCCGGCCTATCCTATCTGCCTGGGCCATAACACAAAGATATGTGCCTGACACCCCGTTCCAAATCCATAGTACGATTTGTTGGCAACTCCGTGCTCGAACCAGGTAGAGAAGCAATTCCTCCCAACCATCCGGGCAGACAAAATTTGACAGCCAGGGGATGACGATCGGGTGAGGATCGTGGGATTTGGTTCTAGGCGAGAAACCCGATTCGTGTCTTTAGCACAACTTGATTGTCTATAACGGCGGTACATCATCCGAGAAGGACAATGCCCCCAGCTCTGGCCGACGCCTACCTGAAGCGAGGGCCAGTAGGAAGACTATTTTCCACGGAAGGTGGTGTGCGGTTAGCTCCACATTGTATTCTAGGCACCAAAGGAGGATTTGCTCCGCTAGGACCGACAACGATGGGGAATATCCCCCCCCCCCCCCTTCTTGAAGGAGACCACCGCTGCGTTGCCTGTGCGGAGCAGGACTCTGTGGTCTCGAACTACGGGTAGAAAGCGTGGTAGTGCTAAGTACACTGCTCTCAGTTCGAGCCGGTTGATATGGTAGTTCCGAAACTAATGCGGGGGCCATATCCTTGGGCTTGTTGGTCCAAAAGATGCGCTCCCCAACCCTGGGGGGAGGCATCTGTTACCAAAGTCATACCTGCGGCGAGCAGGTCTAAGAGACCCCCCTGTCTGAGGTTGGCCAGTGACGACCACCAGGGCAGGGCTTCCTTCACTTGGTCCGAGATCGAAACCTGCCTATCTAGTTCCCATAGGAGAGCTCGGCGTTATAACAAGCGATATACCGGGCGGCTGCGTAGTGCGGCCTGGGGAACGCCCTTTGAACTGAGGTCATCATTCCAATGATCCGCATTAGTTCTCGGAGGGACACTGACTAGGCATTCGGCTAGGCTGCTTAGCGCTAAGCAACACGCTTGATAAGCCAAGCTTACCTCTGCGCGTTGGGTCGAGGTGGGACTTGTCGATTTACTAATAAGCCCAACTGGTGAAGTAAATCCTGTGTTAGCCTGATGTGTTTGGCTATTAACCCCTTGCCCGGATTGTTAGTAACCAGTAGTCTGCGTATGGATTGAGGTGTACCGACATCTGGTGAAGCAGCAGCACTACCTGTTTCATCATGCGGGTGAACACGTAGGGCGCTGTGCCTAACCCGAATGGGGGGGGGGGCACCCAAAATTTGAATACTTGGCCCAGCTGGGCAATTCGAAGGAGATGGCAACTCGCTGGGTGCATCGGTATGTGCATGTAGGCCCCGCTTGAGTCTAGTGGGGCTAGCCAGTCGAAACGGTGGATGGAGAGGAGAACCCTGAATGGTGTCTCCATGTGAAACCGATCGAGGAGCACGTACTGATTCAGTCTGCCGAGGTCCAGAACTGGACGCCCGTCACTTGTAGATTTGGTACTACGAAAACATTTGGGTAGAAGCCTGGACTTAGTTCCGGCTGATGTACCCTTCGTATGGCGCCTTTTCCCAGCAAACTGCTACTTCCTGTCTGATTGAGTCCCCTGGCAGTGCCCAACAGGGGAGACACTCATGGGGGGAAATGGAGATTTCAGCGGTATCTCGTAACAGGATGTCACCACCTGGAAAGGTCCAGGGATCGGTCACCCGCTGTCTCCAAACCGGAATACACCGGCGCAATCTGTGTACGACAGGGATATGTGGCCATGGGTTCGGCAGTTGCGAGAGGGAGGGTGCTCCCTTCTCCCATGAGGTGAGTTCCCCAAGGCCTGAAGTAGTCACTAAGTTGTGACCTGGCCTAACGCCGAACACATGCCTATCCCCCTGGTGCGTTCTGCCTCCAAGGTCTTCAGAGTCCTGGACACGCACAATAATGCGCTCAAGCAACTCTGCCCTCAGGGCTGGATGGGTCGTCTTCGATTGACAAGGACGCCCATGAAACGCAGCTGTCCCTCTTTGCCCGGTTTGCCAAATTCGTGGTACCGGGGTCTGGGGGAGGAGCCTTGGAATCCGGTTGGGGGCGTTTTGGTCTCATCCCATGCTATGGGTCTGATCCCGAAACACACCGACTGGGTAGCGTTTGGTCCAGTGGGAAGTGTTGCCTAATGTTTTCCCCACCCGGGGGCCTTAAGCGTTACACCCTCCAGGGCTGACCAACGCCGCCTATCAACACCGTTTACGTGCTCTGCGCCCCACTCCGCACTCAGACGGACAGGGAGAGACTTGCCGACGGGGTTGCTTTGGATCCTGACGCCCGTGATCCCATAAGCGTTGAAGCAACCTTACGTGGTCGCACTAGGATCAAGGGTGGGGGTATCTACATCGTATCACCCCAAAAGCATGGCTCACCGAGTCATACGAATGGAAGACTCTGAGGGACCGCCCGGAGTACCGGCTGTATCCGACACGAGCGAACTGTGTCTCCTTTCACTTTGAATATGTGAGAGGGAGCGTGTTCGACTGAGTGTCTCATGACAGGGTCGGTTCCTTCTGGGGACGCCCGTGGGTCGGCAAGAAAGGAGTCAAAACCCACAGCGGAGATCAGACACAAGGATAAATTCGTTACCGTTGTACCGTTACCATGTGACGAACCCTAGCTGGCTGAAAGTAGGGGGGGGTCAACATGTGCCCTGCCCTGAAAGCCCTGCCCCGAGATCGGAGGCTTGGCTGCCAGCACCCCGTTGGCATTCAGTGCCCGAGGCTCCAGAGGAGGCCCAGTGCAATTAGCCTGAGCCTCGGCTTCCCCAAAAAATAGTGGGAGAGCCGCGGCTGGGAACGGGGGTTCCCCGGAAGAGACGTGTTTGAATGCAAACATGCTTTTATGTTTCTTCCTGCTTGCCCAGCGAGGGGACACAGTGGAGACAGCTTGCTCCGACTGCGTCTGATCTACCTGGCCTGCCAGGGACGCAATTGCCCCGACAGTCCTTCGACCAAAGCCATCAACTCAGAGGCAAACCCGGCGCCGTGCGAGGAAGGGTCCACAAAGGGACTCGCAACGGGCCCCATAGGAGGAAAGCTTCCGGGGGCACAGCCTCGCTGCAGCCGGTAAAATCCGGTAAACCACCGCCTGAAAAAACAGACTGTGAGAATGCCCTCCCGATCAGCGGGGGAGACCGAGAAAAATATCGGTACCTCCACCATCGGGCCTCCTACTCGACGTCCCGGTACACGAAGCACCAGTAGCCGAGTGTGAGGACTTTCCACTCATGCAAAACAAGCAACTCACTTTAACCGATTTGTTTACTGGACCGCGTGACCTTGCTGTGACGCGGTCAGTCTCAGCGATTTTGATGGCTCTGAAAGAAAATCTCAGGCCTCAGAACTCCAGTGAAAAAACACACACCTTCACGCAAAAACCCCAAACCCCGCACACAGCTATGACAATGTATCTTGGATGCGGGTTCTATGCTGGTAAATTCTGAATATAATCACTGCACAGTCGACTCGAAACACGAGGAGACCGAAAAGAAAATGGCAGCGAGCCCTGGTGCTGTCATTACATCTATATATTGCTAAATACATTGTTAATAAAAGACGACATGCATGAGGGAAAAACGAAATACAGTTGTAAAAGGTGTTGCCGCGAAACCAGCAAGTGGTTACGTAGTGGCGCTGGGTTTTAATTTCTTTGTTGTGAAAAATACTACACACAAAGGGGAAAACGACATGTGGGTAAAAATGACAAGGAAAACTTATCCTACCAGCTACAATGTCGGATGCCGTACAGCGGCAACAACCCACGCCAGAAACCCAGACAGGAAAAAGCAACAGAGCCAGGCAGAGCCGCTCAGAATCATTCCCGACGAGGCGGAGATGAAAGAAGAGTGATTGTACAGCTGCCTATTGCGCTGCCATGTGGCCTCGTGGGTTTGTGACGTAAGGGGTAAAAGAATCTTGGGGTCATGGGGCTTCCCCTGACCTAGATTCTATTTCTCCGTCATCGGCAGAATCGCTGATTAATGCCTACAGTTCAAAATAGTCATTTTGACTGACCAGAGTCTATGGTGGGTAATTGAACGTAGTGAATTGACAAGGATTTTTATTTTTTCAATGAACTACCTGTTTTTTTTCCCAACCCAACCCGATCTTATCATTGTCAGTAAGGTTTAAATAACACTTATCAGGTGCTGATCTAGTTGCCATAAAGTAGGTTGTACCTTTCGTCATTTGCTTCAGTTTAACACCTGCTTCACCTTCAAGACTAGTCCACCTGAGCCCATCTGCTTTCTTTAACTTCAACTCAATCTAGAATAAAATAAACAATGATAATAATATAGACACAATGATCAGGTACCCACTCAATTAGCTTTTTCAGAATTCCTTCAAATGTTCTGTAGTATGAGAATGCTGCAAATACGTCATTCATGCGTACCAAGGTCACATTCAGTGAGGTCAGTGAAATCTACAATTGATATATGTGAACTGAATTTCATCTTCCCGGCATATAAACTCATTCATTTGACATATTGTGCACAAAAAACAAACACAAATAAATGTGTACGGAGCCAGAACTGACTATCATTCACATTTTGCGAGAAACGAAAAATATAGCAAAATATGGTGCAAATGCACAACTTTGAACATGATTTTCCATCTGTAGAAGCAGCATAGTGTTAATGCACTCGTATTCCAATGAGTGTTAAAAATAAAAATGTTGCTGCTTTTCAATGCTGGGTTTTATTGGGAAGACAACAGTCACCTCACCATGTTTTGACTACTTGGTTCTAGGAAATGAATTTGATACTTGTTCACTGTTTATTGTAACCTGCGTAGAATATATGTATAAAGACAAGTAATAGCACAAGAGGCCTAGAAAGGCATTTGTAGGCAATGGTATAGGAGGCCTTTCAAATCTATTTTAAACCATTTATGTGAAAATAAAACCTATATAATATACCTACCTTTGTAGCAAAGACTCTTGTAATAGATTTCTCGGCTATTATAGGATGAGCCAGATTTAAATGAAGTGTGTAATCATTCCCTGATGGTAACGTCACATTTGCAGTAACCTGTGAACAATATGCAATATAATTAGCTCTAAAATAACTAAAGTTAAGGATAACGATCATAATGTAACTAATGTCACATAAAAGATTTAATGAGCCATTCGGTTCACACAATGCATGCATGGCTGATAGCACCATTAGATGTTCACTCGTAAGTGTTCATAAACTTAATATAAAGTTTAAATTATGAATTTTTGAGCATTTGGTCAGACATGTATTAAGATGATTACTCAAGATGTTTGTGACTATGGAAACTAGAAGCAATACCCCTTATTTTCTCCATCACTTGTTTGCTTAGAAAAATCAAGAATTAATCATGTTGTAAATTACACAGAGTCCTATATACTGTGTATTAATTTGAAAGGGAGGAGGTTTCACCCTACTTATCAAATGTTGTGATTTGTGACAGGAGAAAAACTACCTAGCATTACTATTATGGCAGATAAGATGGGTTTCCATGGAATGAACATATATAGGTAGTGTAATTGATGATACATACTGTGTTATCTGTATATTCCACCTTGACATTGTCTTTCTTTGCATTTTTGATCATAATACTGATAACAACTTGTGCTTCTGTCTGATACCAGTCATGTCTGTAAAGATAATATAATGATACATGGTTCAAACTAAACCACCCAGTTTCAAGGCCAAATTTAATATTGAAGAGTAACAAGGTCAAGGTCAAATCATTGGGCATCAAATCAATTGCCTTCAAAAACTTTCTGAATTTCAAGCCTTGAGATAAAGGCAACATCAACTGCCAACTATTTGTTGGCCTTTAACAGTCCTATCCCAAATATGCTCAAGTTTGTAATTTAAGATATTGATCAAACTTTATCACCATGAAATATCATATTCTACAGATTTGATTTAAAGTTAACATTGAATTGATGATAATTTTCCATAATTGTGGCTATCTATCCAACCATGAAATGTTTTACATCAGACGCTCAGATTCATTATAATGAGTAATGACATGATTCAAAATAACACTTTTAATGCCATAAGTTTCTCACAATTTACACAATTTTAAGAATTTTTACACAAAATGTACTGTCATGTCATCTTCAACAAAATAAACCTCCAAATCCACATTTTGTACTCTGTTTCATCAAATTGCAGATTTGGAAGTTTATTTTGTTAAAGATGACATGACACAGTACATTTTGTGTAAGAGTTAAGAAAACTTAACAAGTCAGTTTTTTACACAGAATTTGAAACTAATGCATGTAAATACGTGTGACATAATCTATATGTGTGAAGTTTAATATATGGCTCCTGAACAGCATTATTCTTTAAAATGGTTGCCAGCAGCCATTTGTAATTCGATCATGAAAAAATGTATATGTGGGACATGATGTGTAGCGTATGTGCAAAGTTCCAATGTGATCGGTTTCAGACACAAGGTAAAAAACGTTAAGCAGTTTTTTTTTCACTCATTTTGGTGCCAGTAACCTCTTTGTGACTTTGCAGCTGATATTATTACCTTATCTTGGGAGGACTGACAGGCTGAGGCTGTGGGGGCGTAGGTGATGATGAATGGGGTTCAGGTGTGCTTGATGATACATCTCCAGATGTTCCTGTCTCTACACTTCCATTGGCGATACCAACAATGGGCTGCAAAATACAACATATTTTGATTTACCTTGTATTACAGAAATCTATGAATAATTTTCAGCATCCATGGCAATGTGATCAGACGTCAATTTTGTTACGGTAATAAAATTCTTTTCTCACCTGACCAGCTGTTGTTGAGCCAGTTTCCTCAACTTTCTCCACTAAAAATGAAAAAAAAAAATAGGTAAAGCTGTGAAATGCACCCTAATACATTGTATAGATAATATACAATGTAGTACACTACCCAGCTTAATTATCACTCCAATCTAGTGCACTCAAATCTAACCTCGGCCCCCACTAATCTAATGCTAAAATCTAGTGTCCTAATTTAGTAAAAACTATTGCCCCAATTTACTACCCTCTCCAGCTAAACTATTGCCCAATTCTAAACAAGTGCTAATTGTCTCCAAGGATGATGGCAAAGCTATGATGAATGTGAAGATGAAGGCGTTCATTTGTGTTATTTTCGCTCAAAATAACATCAGCAAATAAAATCCAGTGAAAATTACCCATCCCCCCTACTTTACAGGAACCTTATTAGAAATAATGAATATATATTCGAAAAAAACAAACATCAATATACTCACAATCTAGTTCTGCTTCACATTTCCTGATCCACATTTTAAATGATGAGTCACTTGGATCCAAATTTTGACCTTCCAAAAATGATTCTTTCGCTTTTACATATTTCTCGAGATAAAAATATGCAATCCTGAAATCAAAAGTATTAGGTTGTTGACTGGATAACTGCAATAATACTGGCGTGCCCTCTAAGACAGTATGCTCTCTAAGGATATCGTTTTGACTCAAGAACCTTACAAAGTCAGTCTGGTTAGAGGGCACACTAGTGCAATGATAACTAACATAGATACAATACATGTAGTGCCATGAACTAGTGAATCAGTGAATTTGAAACTTAGTGATTATGCTCTAAATATCATAATAATGAAATCAATCCAATGAGAATTAATGATTTGACAGTACCACATTGAGCTCTATGAGTAATGCATGTGCTTACGTAAATGACAGACCTGTTACCGATACAGTCAAAACAAGTCATTGAAAATGACACAGTCCCCGTTAAGTTCTCTTTGTGCTCGTCATATTAAAGCGGAGGGGTTGTCGCGAGCGTGTCCTTGAAACTTGAGTTCCAAGTGGCGTATACAACAGATTGTCTATTTACATCAAAACACGTGTTTTGTGTCATAGTAATATGGCCAAAATAAAATCAGCTGTTATTCAGCCATCTTTGATCTGATTATGAAACACACTGATATGTATGATGTATGTGCCAAATACGAATGAAAATGGTACATAAATTGTGGAAGTAGTAAGGCCAAAAAGTCAGATGGCTGTCAATCGGCCATCCTTGACCAGATTTTGAAACAAATTGTCATGGACATGCATCCTAACATGCAAAAAGT